CCCCCCCCCCCCGCCGGTGCACAAATTTCATGCACCGGGCCTCTAGTATTACAGAAAAAGAAAGCTGAGGCTCAGGGAGGTTACACAACTAATTGTCGCGAGCTCCAGAATGCAACTCTGACCTGTTTGCCTCCAAAGACCCTGTGTCACAGAGCGAGAAGCAACAGTGTGGAAGCAAACCACACACATGCAGTCGGTACCCATAAGCACATGTTGAATGAGCCAGTAAATGAGTGGATGAGACAGTTTCAAGGAAAGGGTTAGCAACACCATCTGTTGCTGCAAGATGCCACGAATGATGGGAACTGGAAAAGGAAAAAAGGCTGGTGGATTTGGCAATTAAGTTCAAGTTATAATAGCAAAAATGGGGGGAACCACCTACATATCCATTATACAGTGGGGCCTTGACTTACGAGTTTAATTCGTTCTGAGACCGAGCTCATTAAGGAGCTCGTTAAGGAGCTCGTTAACTCAAATTGCTCTATCAACTCAATGCAAAAAATCGGCCAAGAGACAGCTGGTATCTCAAAAAACTCGTTAGTCGGGACACTCGTAAGTCAAGGCCCCACTGTAGTCTATATTAGTCAGCTCAGACAGCCATAACAAAAGATCATAAATTTGTGTGGCTTAAACGACAGAAATGTATTTTTCTCACAGTTCTAGAGGCTGGAATTTAGGGTCAGGGTACCAGCATAACATCATCCCATACACCAGAAAGTGGTGGATCAATTGCCGGTCAGGGCACATGCCCAGGTTGCAGATTCAATACCAGTCCAGTGAGTGCTGGAAACAACAGAACAATGTTTCTCTCTCACATCAATGTTTCTCTCTCTCTCCCTTCTTCTCTCTGAGATCGGTAAACATGAACGATAAATAAACAAATAGTGTTCTATACGTATGGTTTTAACAGGAAAGACATTAGTGATCTATGAAGTGAAAAACTCATTATAATGCATATGTATAGCATGACCCCATTTTTAAAAAAATATTTATTGTTTTCAGAGGAAGGGAGAGGGAGAGATAGAAACATCAATGATGAGAAAGAATCATTGATCAGCTGCCTCCTGCATGCCCTCTACTGGGGATGGAGCCAGAAATCTGACAGGGAATCAAATCATGACCTCCTGGTTCATAGATGGATGCTCAACCACTGAGCCCCACCAGCCGGGCCCCATTTTTATCAATACCAGGTACATTGGCAAGATCTCACTCCTAGACGAAAGTATGAAATTGCCCAAACTCCTTTGCAGCTAGGTTTCTGGATATGAATTCGTTTCTGCCGGTTGGACGCACTTGCATGATATTTTGAAGGCAGAAGTGGGGCAGAGGCATCTTCCCGGGGCTGTTTGCTGCTGGTGATCATGTTTGCAGAGATGTGAGGTTTATCTTCCCGGGACCCAGGCTGTGCACAGGCAGTTGTGGCAGAGGCAGTGCCCAGTGACCTGTTTTGTGGGAGCTGGAGGGCACTTGCGGGGGCAGCAGTTTCCCGATCCCTGGGTCACAGCTGTGCCAGAGTGTCCTAGAATTCAGTTGTGGCTGAGGGAGCAGCTCCTCCCACTGGGCAGGGAGTCTTTCCTGGGGGCCCAGCCTAATATCCATTCCTCCAGCTTTCCGATGACTTCCCAAGCACCAGTTCCCTGTGCTAAATTCTTTCCTGCCTAAAATAGCAAAGATCTAAAAACATTTTGGCGCCTCTACTTTCAATGAAAACAATGCTGCACAGGGTCAGGTGTGAGACGTGGGTGGGGTGTTGGGGAAGGCTCCCTTCTGACCACAGATTATTATCTGTTGGTCGTTCCTGAATAGGTGGCCGCTGTGTTTCCCGAAGATGGCCACAACGTTTCCCATCCCGCCTGGGCCCTGCCACTTCCCGCCACGTCCTCTTTCTCGAAGCGGGGCTGGCCTGTGACCCGCGGGTAGCCAGTCCACTGGTCGCCAGCAGAATTCCAAGGCCGAGGCCGAAAAGGCGCAGGTCTGCAGCCCCGCCCACTCCTCCGGGTTCCCAGCTCCTGCCCCGC